GCAGTTCAAGTCATTTTTAGATATATATTTTTAAGACGAGCTCTAAAAGCACATGATTAATCAACACAGAGAAAAGGACAGATTGCTCAGGCTTTTCATTGCAAATTGCAGTACATTTTGAAAAACTGCCTGCAAATTAATAATGATGTAGAAGTAAAACTTATGGGAAACTATATTTAATTTATTTTTACATTCCCTCCCCCCCACCTTTAATGATTATTGAACAGAAATTAAAAACATAAAATAACATCACAATAAATACATATCAGCAGCAAAGGTGAAAACAGTTAATAATTATCCTAATTTTTGCTCCAATGCAAAATTCCATAAAATCGAAGTCTTGCAATTTTATTGAGTATCTTATAGGCATAGATTATGTATCAATAACTACAGTAAAAAATAATAAATTCTTCCTTAATTTGAAGAAAATAGTACACACACACACACACACCAATACCCTTGCTATTGTTTTGCTGTCTTTTTTCTTTAATTTCTTTCTTTCTTTGGTTTAAATAAATAAAGGCCAAAAACAAGCAAAGTAAATTTTGCCAAACATGATACTTCCAGGAAGTTAATGAAAATGTCTTCCTAAATTCCTTCTCCTTCAAAGAATGTAGGGAAGTTGTAGCAAAATGAAGGGAATAGGAAGCTGGTGATAGAAGTGTCAACACCCAGTCAACATCTAAAGCTGTCTCCATGGGATCTTCACCCTCATATCTGGTCTTCTTGAACCCTGGAATCTCCAGGTGGGCTCTTCCCCAGTGAAAATCTTCTGCCCAGGTAAAAAGTTACATATTCACCATTTGTTTTCAAATGGGAAGGTGTTTCTCTTACTTGGAATCTGGATAGGACACTACAAGGACTCTCTCTTCCCCAGAAATCAGAATTTAAAGAATTGCTTCAAATTTTTCCTTTCAACCAGAGCTACCTAGCCCAAATGATTTTGGAGTACATGGTGCTGGATTACATACTCATAGCTAGAGAAATCAAGAATATAATTTTTATTTTTAATAAAAGCAATGAATCAGACTAAAAATTTAATTGCAACCAATTAACAAGGCTGACATCTGCATTTCAAACCTAGAACTCAACAATATGCTATATACTGACAGACATAGAAAGACAAAGATTAGAGCAAAGGTAGAATATCATCCAACTGAGCATCTTGTACTGAACACAAATTTCAAAATTCCTCACATTACTAAATTGAATATACTTTCCCAGCTTTATATTCACTGGTTCCTACCCTTCTAGAGTTTTGTAAGCAATGGGCCTGAATCCTTAGATCCAGTCACATGGAATCTCTTCAGATATCTGCTTTACCGGGAGGCCCTCAGCCAAAAAGCTAGAGAAATAAAAATTCCTAACTTCTCCTACCCTTGAATCCCTACTCAGTAAATTACCAGGAGATGACTCAAAATTATTATTTTTAATCGAAAAGAAATTCATGAAAGGATTAGCAATATTCTCAGCTGCAGCACACGAAATGATGACATGATGTGCATGATGATGTAATGGCACTATCCTCTACAAATGGAGAATTTTATCTTAGTGGATAGATTTTTAAAAATGGAATAAATCTTCCAATCATTTCATATGCCAATTCAAGGGAGTTCGCTGTCTCCTGTAATCCTGCCACAAATAAGGCAATGACAACTGTATACCTCCTGAATGATATAAAAATATTAGAAAAATGTGGCTTTGATATTGTTAACAGATATATATTGAGTCTTTGGAGACAAGGACCTCAATCATGGGATTATGAGATTTATATAACAATTATTCTAACAGAGGAAGAAGTCTCACAATCGTGGAAGAATCTAATATCTTAGCTAGATACAGATACTAAGATTTTGATGGCTACTCTGACATGAAGATTATAGAAGGTATTATTATCCATAATTCAAGCAGCATAATCTGGATTTATAAAAGGATGTGAAATACCTGATAACATTATATTATTGGTAGAAATCTTACCATTATATTTTAATTAACAATGAAACAGGTGTAAAGACTTTCTTAGATGTGAAGAAAATCTCTGAGATAGTGGTGTAAATTAGATTTTTTATCATTATGGGGAAAATATCTATCAAATGTTATTACTTGGATACATTTATTATCTAATCCTTCTGCTCAGATGATTATCAATGGATTTCTGCAGTTAATTCCTTCAGCAACTTGTTGCAATTCTTCAAAGAAATGTCTAGGATTGTGAGAAAAGCACACCTAATATGTCACATAGATTCTATCATGAAAATACAGCAAATCAATGGTGGGATTCAAACATTTTTACTATCAGTTCTGTGTGTGTGATGTGGCTTGGTGGGTGTGGCTTGGTGGACATGGCAAGGGATGGATACTGTAAAATCTCCATTCCCATCCCACTCCAGGGGAAGGATACTGCAAAATCTCCATTCTCTCCCCACCCCACTAACCTGCTTTCCATCTCTGTTCTCCTGTGCAGGGCAACAAAAGAAGACCCAGACGATCAGCTGAGACTCAGGAGGCAGAGAATAGATGGGGGTGAGGCCAGTCAGAGGTGGTATTCCAAACTATTCAAAATTTCCGCTACCGGTTCTTCAGAACTGGTCAGAACCTGCTGAATACCACCTCAGCAGCAAAGAGCATGTAACTATGAAAGCTACAAATAGTTAAAACTTAACTGTGCCTGCATCCCATAAATAGTTCTAACAACCACTTTTAAAACTGCATGTGTTGCTTGTAGTGGTTTGTTTATGCATTTATTTTGAAGAAATTATCCACTTCCATTGGTACTCGAGATACCTAAAACGTTATTTACAAAACATGCGCAATCCAACCAACAATAAATACAAAGCAGTACAGTGTTCACTGGAGCCATAAAATTAATACAAGTAAAAGGAGATCTGTTCTAAATTAATCCTTTTAAGCCACATTGTTAATAGTCTTAGGATAACTCAAAGCTGACAAGACTTGCCTTTTGTTTCAACAAATGTATGGGTACATTTTTTGTTTAAAGAACCAGACATAGTTCCTCCCCCTTACAATTAATATTACAATAAGTTATGCTTTTTACTCTTCCTTAATAAAGCACATGGTGTGACTTAACGAGCAGTTCTAAAAATCAAGTTTTCCTGGTTCCAGAAAATTAAAGTTAGGAACAAAATGTTATTATGCAGAAGCAAATGTGTCACTAATTTAATTTAATCCATTTAAGAACAATTAATAGAATAAAGGAACTAAAGGAAAAAGAAAAAGCTGCTGACATTTGTAAAATGCAAACAGTTCACATGCCAATAGGTAAGACTCAGATGTTTATCAAGATGTAAATTCTCATTCTCAAAAGACTGAGGGAAAATAAGTTACTTGTACTCAATAGAGGATCAAATAATCGTGGATATATTCGCATGTGTCAAGCAGAAAGCAAAATTAGCAATTCACTATTTGAGAAATTCATTTCAAAATGAATTTGTGGAAGTAACAATATCAGCATACTAAACAGATGAATATCACCAAAGGATAGGTTGCAACGTTTTATGAAATGAAGGCCATGTTCAAGATGGTCATAAATTTACCTGTTACATAGCGAGTCCAAAAGAAAATGCCCTTTTATAAAATGCAAACTGATGTATAAGATTTTTTGCACCATCCAAGAACTGTAGCTTGCCATTTAGGTAAAACTGATCGACGTTGATTTAGCAGCCTAAGTATGGGGTCTCTTTCTCTCGTTCCTTACAACAAAGAAGGAACAGTTTAGTTTTTTTGTAGCTGGTGAGAAAACATTTAAAGTACTTTATAGCTGGTGAAATTTATGAAATATTATTTTTATGGTAACTTAAAACAGTGCCCTGCTGTCCTCCAGTTTATAACTGTTTCCTGACTCTATGTTCATTTTACCAAACAGCATCAGGTGCAAACCTTTTTGCTCACCCTAATTCTCTGACAATATTCTTTGCCACCACACTGGCTGATAAAATATACAAAGCAAGGCAAGCTTAAACTCTGGTAATTATATTGATAGGATCTAATAAGTGTTCAGTGTTCACTGTAAAAAAGGTTCATCATTACCTTCTTTTAGGGTGTTTTTTCAACATTAAGGAATAGCTTATAGTGTTCTTCCTTTAAAATCCTAAATTTGTTTAGTTTTGTTTGGTAGACCAGATGACTAGGTACAATAAGATGCTCCACCATATATATACATCCATGCTTTAACTGTGATTTATACCTTGGCATCAGATTAACTTCAAGACAATGTTCATTTGCTAGAATTGGCCCAATCAGTTTGATTTTCCCAAGAAAAGCAATTCATAGTTCCTCACTTTTGGAAGGTGTGGGAGGCTGAGATTTGGAGACATCGCCCTTTGAAGTGACTTTTCTCTAGAGCTCTTAGACCTTAGCTGCTTTTTGGAGAATGCTTGGGATGGGACACCAGGTTTTGTGATGGCGAGAGGGGAGAATTGTGTGTTTTTAAGATATTCATTTAAAACATGAAAATCTTAAAAACACATAATTCTTCCCCTTCCCTTTCTCTCATCACAAAACCAGGTGTTCCATCTCAGACATTCAGCATAACTCTAGGTTATAAATTCACCTAGTGGCTTATTATGTTTGAGTGGCGTCTATATTCCTGCAGCACCGAGTCATGCAAGACTCTGGCAGGATATAAATGTATTACATAAACGAACCAACTTCATTGCAGAAATCATTTTAGCTCATTACTCTCTGTAGCAGAGACTGAAAGAGATCCAGATTTCATGAAGAGAAGCAGGAAAGCTAACTTTCTACAGTAAAATACAGATCCGAATGGTATAATTTTTGAAAGAGCAAGTTCTGCCCTTTTAAAACTGAAGAAGAAAATGGATGTAATAAAACAAGACAGAGTGTGCCACTCTGGCACTTCATTAGAAAATTGAATTGTAATTGAAATAACAGGAAAGGTTACTGAAGGTTGCAATCCAAAGTGACCTAAAACTGCCGCTTCTCAAACCAGGACAGAAGAATTAAAAAAGAAAGGTTTTCACCTTCGAAATAAATCATAGGGTGCTCTCTTCTGGAACACTGCTTCTCCTCATCTTCTTCAGCATAGTCAGGAATCCTGTGTGCCGCAGAGAGGTGAAATGTGAGAAGGAAAAGGCTCGCAAATGACAGTAGAACAGCTTTTGGTCCTGAAACAGCCATGATTGAAGATGTGCTGCAGATATGGCATCCAAATTAGGCCTCTTGAAGATACCTGAAACATTAAAGGGAAAAAAACAGGGCCTCTTACAAAAATGATACAAAATTAAATTGGCTTTACATCCTACACAGCCAGTTCTCAGGAACATTAATGCTTTACAATGATATTCAAATTCTCAGTATAGTAAACGTTTAAAAAGCAGGCTGAAGATGAGGTACAAATGCTGTAAGCTGTCGCTTCCTGAAGTTTGATGAATGAAAAGTCTTACATTTCAATGACTCTGTATTTTGCATTATTGTTATTTGTGCTTTAAAGTCTACTTTTTAACCTTATTTACATAAATAGCGTAGGTAAGCCTCTCAATGTTAGTTTAGATTGGAGCAACATACAAGCTTTGCAAACAAATAAATAAAACACAGTTAATTTGGGGATGAGGTGAAATATATTCACTTATTCTCTGGATTCACATTCCAAGTTGCTTATTCATTCTGTCAAAAGTGTGATATTGCTGATAGAATATTCCACTTCCTCCCTTTCAAAACTCAGTATTTTGTATCCAGAAAAAAACAACACCCTATCCAAAGACAGCATATCTATTACTATATTCACTGCAGTGTAGAATATTTGTAAGATAATTTCAGTTACTGAAGCGCTATCAAATGTGGTTTTCCAGTAAGTGATGAGCCAAACATTTCTCTATTTTAAACTCATTCCCTCATTTTTTTATAACAAAAGGGAAAAACAGAAAAACTACTTTTGGTTTAGCAGTTAAGACTGGAAACCAGGATCTGAATTCCAGTTCCAACTTAAGGCATGAAAACTGTTGGGTGACTTTGGGCCAATCTCTCATCTTACCTCACCTTGTTGTGGAGAAAATAAGAAGATGTAGCAATATCAGTTATGTTCACCATCTTGAGTTATTTATAAAAATAATAAGACAGGATAAACATAAATCTGTATCTGTTATTTACAACAGTATATAAATGAATGTTATTTTTGCCGGAGCAGCAGAAGAGTTTTGAGGTCACCATTTGTGACCTTCTAAGATACTTCCTTATGGAATTTTTAAGGATACCAGCACTTTTCACCCAGTATCAAGGACTCTAAAAATAATCTTCACTTGAATACTATCCAGGTTTTTAAAGCCAATACCAGTAATTGCATGAAGACCCACTGTGGAGATTAGTGCAATTTATCTTGCAAAGTCTAGAGTTTGAGGGACTAATGCAGAAAATCAAAGGCCTATGTACAATATGAATATCCTGCCCTCACAACAGGAATCCTGCAAAGAGACACCCATGATGGCAATTGGCAGTTTTGTCCATCAGGACAATGCACTGTCAGCATGGAAACTGTTGTAATACTCAGGACTTTTAAGTGAAGGTTGCTAAAATAACAATGGCTTCTATGAGGTAAGTGTTGGCAAACTGATTTAAAACATGCATACAAGTGCCAGTGATGCAAGATAACATTCAGACAAAACAGTCATAAAGCAATCAACACCATTCAAACATGTCATCAGTAATGTCTCAGGCGCTACCCAGTGGTATTAGTAACATATATACAAGGGTATTCATCCACTGCATGAATAGGATGGCTAACTGAGAAAGGAAAAAAAAAGAGAAAGATTTCATATCAGTTTTGCTAATAAAGAATGCTGAGAAATGGAAAATACAATCTCTCTGGATATCACCTTGTTCATTACAAGGGAGATCATTCAATCCACCATCAGGTTCTCACTTACTGTTCCAATTACAAATTATCTGGAAAAACATTCAAACTTTAATTAATCATATGCATCAAGTTTATACATCAATTAATTTAGAACAGGGCTTGTTTAGGTGTTGTGTAAACCAAGCTCCTAAGATATGAAAATAGAAATATAGCTTATCATGTTGGATGAATATAGCCAATAGTGATTTACTAAAACTATGGTTAAGGAAACTGGAATTTTCCTTAATATGAAGTCTGAACCATTATTCAATTTAACAAACTTAGCTGTGATCTACCTATTGTGATCTACAACACTACCTACTAAGCCAAAAAGACCAATGAAAGTGATAAAATTTATACAATATTCAGCTGAATATATGTACCAAGAACAATTAGATTTCTTTTTAAAAGGCAACAAGAAATGATACTTCAGTTTTGCCATATATTCCAAATGACCTTTGCTTTTTCATTAAAAAAATTCCTATCCCTGGAGATTCTTCACCTTACTGTTATAATTATCATCATTTTGCTTTAAATAGAATTTAAGAGTGGGGAGTAACTTAGGTTATTCAAATTTTGTCCACACACCTTAATCAATGAGAAGATGTTCTCCATGTGAAGGTCTGCTGCCTCCAAAAGCAGTATCAAAGAAAATGCCTATATACCAAGGCACCACAAGAATTCATGTCTGATGCTACCAACCACTAAAATTAAGGCAAGGAATTCCTGTGGTTTGCAGTGGGTTGTAAAGCAAGGGAAAGCAACTGTAAAATAATGGCAGTATAATAAAAAGCATCCATGAAAGAGACCTAAAACAAGACGGATCGACGACATCAGCAAGTATTGTGGGCCCAATTGGCAAAAGAAAGCTCAGGACCATATTGGTTAGAAACATGCAGAACAGGCCATCGTCCTGCAGTGGATAGACAATGGCTAAAATGATGATGAATGATGATAAGGTAATAACTTGCCATCATAAGCCATCTTGATGTTTTGCTCTACTTCCAAATAGTCTAAGAACAAAGCAGGGGAAAATTGCAGGGAAAATAGGAGAAGGAAGCAGTATTGGGTATGTACATCGTCTTGAGTTATTTATAAAACAATAAAGCTGAGATAAAAATCTAATAAATAAATAAATCAATATAAAGATAGAGAAAAGATAGAGAAAAGTCAGAATGGCAAGACAAAAATGTATAGCCAAGCTAATTACCTGATTATTTTTTTCTATATTAATTATGATCCCTTTCAGGTATGATTGAGAGCTAAACCCACCCTACAAAACCATCACTCCCATTTGCAAAAATAGGAGAACAATTATCTGCCTTATTTTCAAGCGTTATTCTTTATTTTTAGAATGTTCAATCTCCTACTATTACAATAGTACCATGAATTTTGGCTTTCACATACCATTTTGAAGACATATTTCCTCACCTTATTTTTTAAATCACACATCTGCTCTTCTTCATTTCCTTTCTTATATTCTTTTTATTTGCCCACAGTTATATTTATTTTAGATAGATCTTATGAAAAATAGTCTATTTAATATGTATTGTACATGCAAGATGTTCCCTTTTATTCCCAATAGAAATAACAGACATACTTACTTATTTTTAACATACTTATGTTTACCAATAAATAAATGCCCAATTATATCCAAAAGTTTAACTAGTGGAAAACATAAAAGTATTCCATCATTATTAAGCACACTGAATATTTTAAACCACTAATTATCAACTCAGCATTCCCTTTAATTTTCCTTCTTAATCAACACCACTTGTATAGATATTATTGTCATTAATTTCATTAAGGATCTATAGTTCCTTCTGAAGCAACTTTTAATGCTAATTTCTTGTATTCTTTTTAATTATTTATTTTATCTCATTTTTCTAATGTTAGGTTTTTGTAATCTGGGGCTGTCAAGTTTTCTTTATAATTTGTGATCTTGTACAATAGAATTTTATTCTCTATATAATTTTCTCATTCTCTCTGGAAAGAGTCTTTTTTTTTCCATTTTGCAAACAATATCCAAACTATGTATTAATTAATTCTATCCATCTTAAAAATATAATTACAATGATCTTTAAATACTGTTCATCTATTCAGCCTTTTTCATAAAAGAACTGTAATGTTAATGGCTAGTATATGACAAATAATTTTATAAGCTTAATTATATTAATTTGAACCTGCTTTTAATATATCTTTCCAACTCTACCAAAATGCTTAGATGCCTGGAGTGTGAAATCAGGATCAAATATCCAACCCAGCCAGGATCAAATAGCCAACCACTTATGTTAATTCAACAAGAAAGCATAGCTTATTTATTTTAAACAACATTTTTGAAAAATATTTCTATAAAAAAGTCAAATCTCTTCTCCCTTCAAGCCAAGGGCATACCTGAATCCCAACAAAAGACTTATGGAAGACCAAAGCTGTTCCAGTCCAAACAACAGAAAAGGTTACTTCTACTTTTCTCGTATTGCCATACCTTATTTCTGTGCTATCATCAGGACAGACTGAAAAGAAATATACTATAAAAGCATTCACACATTGGATTCCGCGGATTACACAAAATATTTGTTCCCATGGGAAACAGACACATCTAGCCCAAGACCATATTAATTCCTCAAACCTGAGACAGTGATAACTGATCCTTCCTTTCATACACAAAACATGAAAATATTTCAAAAGTTAGAACCTCTGTAAAAAGATGATTTACTTTGCTATTAATATAATTACATTCACTAATTCTCCACCAAAGTTAGTAATTCTCTCCTTTAGGACTTTGAAATTACACCAGAACACTACTCTTTCTACTTTATTTTTGTTTTAATCAATGAATGCCACTAAGTTCAGCATCTTTGGTGTTCTCAGGATTCAAAGAAAGGAAACAACATATCCCTAAAGCATTAACTTCAGGAGATTGTGGATATGAACAATGACACACTGCTGTTCTGCGGGCTCCCTGTCAAGTATAGCCCACAACTTGCCAGGTCACATTGTCGTCGCGTGACATTTCACGACGTTTTCCCATTCATGTAGCTGGGGTGGGCGTGGCCTGTGTGTGACGCATCTGGCCCACTGGCCACCAGTTTGACACCCCTAGTATAGTCCATGTGTTCATTAATAATGCAGAAAGGCTAAATAAGTAATATGTTTCTGCTAACCACCATGTTTCCTTCAAGAAGCATTCCTTTAATGAGAAAAAAATCTTTATTTAAAATTAAGTTCGTGTTCTTGGGTTCAAAACATGAAGATAGGACCGTTTAATTGTCTGGTTCTGCACAGCAGTTTTTGAATATGGCAGTAATTCTTTCACGAAAGTGATTAGGTCCAAGCTGCAG